CTTATTAGTACGAGCTTCTGTTTTAGATGTACGAAGTTATGGCCTATAAGTACTAACTTATGAAGATGAAGATGAGAGACTGAGTGAGATAGATAGATGGGTATGAATAAAGACAGAGAGAGAGAGAGGGAGAGAGAGAGAGAGAGAGAGAGAGAGAGAGAGAGAGAGAGAGAGAGAGAGAGAGAGAGAGAGAGAGAGAGAGAGAGATAGATAGATCGAGAGAGAGAGAGAGAGAGAGAGAGAGAGAGAGAGAGAGAGAGAGAGAGAGGATGGAGGGGGGAGGGGGTAAGGGTGGGGGTAAATGAAAGAAAGGGGATAAAAGTATAGTGAAAGTAAAGAGACTGATTATAAATGGGATGAAATATTATTAAATTAGACGTAGTTAAAGAGAAACATACATACATACATACATGCACAGATACATATATATATATATATATATATATATATATATATATATATATATATATATATATATATATATATTTATATATATATATATATATATATACACACACACATATATATATATATATATATATATATATATATATATATATATATATATATATATATATATATATATATTTGTGTGTGTGTATGTGTCTGTGCGTGTGATGTGTGTGTGTATGTGTCTGTGCGTGTGGTGTGTGTGTGTGTGTGTCTGTGCGTGTGATGTGTGTGTGTTATGTGTCTGTGCGTGTGGTGTGTGTGTGTGTGTGTGTCTGTGCGTGTGATGTGTGTGTGTATGTGTCTGTGCGTGTGGTGTGTGTGTGTGTGTGTGTCTGTGCGTGTGATGTGTGTGTGTATGTGTCTGTGCGTGTGGTGTGTGTGTGTGTGTGTATGTGTATGTGTCTGTGCGTGTGGTGCGTGTGGTGCGTGTGGTGTGTGTGTGTGTGTGTGTGTGTCATAATGATAATAAAGGAACTGATTATAATTGGAATTATAAAAAAAGTAATCCTGTTTGTCTAGTCATTGCTATGGAAATTAATTATACTAATGATTATATGATCTGATTTTCTTTGATACTAAGCCTTGAAATTTAGATTTAGAATAAGGATAAAAACGGTGATCGATTTTTTGTTTCTCTCTTTCTCTCTCTCTCTCTCTCTCTCTCTCTCTCTCTCTCTCTCTCTCTTCTCTCTCTCTCTCTCTCTTTCTCTCTTTTTCTCTCTCTTTCTCTCTCTCTCTCTCTCGTTTTATCCTGTTTCTCTCTTCCGCTCCCTTTTCACTCTTCTCTCTCTCTCTCTCTCTCTTCTTTTCTCTTTCGTCCCACTCTCACATTTTCTTCTTATCTTCCTATCCTCCCTCCTTCCCTCCTATCTATTCTTGGTCTCTCTCCTTCCTTTTCACGTTTCTGTCTTTCCCCTATTATCACGTTTTCACCCCTCGCCCGTTCATTTCCTCTCTCTCTTCTTTTCCTTTCCCGCTCTCCCTCTTCCCCTTTTCAACCTCCTTCCCTTTCTCCCTTTCTCCCTTTCTCCCTTTCTCCCTTTCTCCCTTTCTCCCTTTCTCCCTTTCTCCCTTTCTCCCTTTCTCCCTTTCTCCCTTTCTCCCTTTCTCCCTTTCTCCCTTTCTCCCTTTCTCCCTTTCTCCCTTTCTCCCTTTCTCCCTTTCTCCCTTTCTCCCTTTCTCCCTTTCTCCCTTTCTCCCTTTCTCCCTTTCTCCCTTTCTCCCTTTCTCCCTTTCTCCCTTTCTCCCTTTCTCCCTTTCTCCCTTTCTCCCTTTCTCCCTTTCTCCCTTTCTCCCTTTCTCCCTTTCTCCCTTTCTCCCTTTCTCCCTTTCTCCCTTTCTCTCTTTCTCCCTTTCTCCCTTTCTCCCTTTCTCCCTTTCTCCCTTTCTCCCTTTCTCCCTTTCTCCCTTTCTCCCTTTCTCCCTTTCTCCCTTTCTCCCTTTCTCCCTTTCTCCCTTTCTCCCTTTCTCCCTTTCTCCCTTTCTCTCTCTCCCAGTTTATTCCTCAGAAAACGCACTGTCTTTGATCATGAAAGAAGTCAAAGACCATGAAATACCTTTATGTATATAAGCTGATACACAAAATAGAGTACCAGTAGTATGTAAATGACATGCAAATGCAACGGTGACAACTTATTATGATAACGGAGTCCTATTCACACTAACAGGCTTAGTATTCTTTTAGGAATTCTCCTCATATACGCACATTTATCTCGTTTTGATTTTGTTCAGTCAGTAATCAGTACAGTGAATGTTTTTTAAAGATCAAAAAAATAAAAGAAATGGGTGAGGAAAACGTATAGAAGAATAAACACGATTCCTGAAGTTCAGTGTTGAAGAAAACTTTTTTTTTTGTTTTTTTTTTTCTTTTTAATGCAATTGTAACTCATAATTTTACACATTGGACGTGTTTGGAAAAATGAGGTTGTTTTTGATGAGTAAAGTCGGCTTGTAGGGAAGACATGTGTTTCAAAATTCTTGTGGTCCATAAAACACACACACACACACACACACACACACACACACACACACACACACACACACACAC